GAAGAAGAAGAAGAAGAAGAAGAAGAAGAAGAAGAAGAAGAAGAAGAAGAAGAAGAAGAAGAAGAAGAAGAAGGCGGCCTGTGGCTCTGATGGTCGATGGGGGAATCAAAATCCAAACCTGGAGGGCATCTGTATAAAGCTAACCAAAGCAGCCCGAAACGGCATGCTGTTTGAGGTTCACAGGGTTGGATGTCACACAGGCTGATCCTGAAAAGCTCCCTGGGTGAAGTAGTATGTGAGAAAGACCTTGGGAGTATGAAATGGTATGTGGGAAAGACCTTGGGAAACAGGGCAAAGAGACGCTGCCAAAGGAACGGTCAGATGAGAGATGGCATAGCCCGCAGCTGGATAGTGGACGGGGCAACAGGCTCAGAAAAGACCCTCCCTAGTTTCTCAGGCTGTAAAGGAGACGGGGGGCGGGGGGGAATTGCATTTTCAGACTTGCCAGATGTAGCTTTACAATAAAGTAGAATTATCTTACCTGGTTGTGGTTCCTATCTGGTTTACCCCACATGGCTGGCATCAGTCTTACAAGTCTGAAAGTACATCTTTCCCTCATCACCTGAGAAACTAGGGAGGGCCCCTTTTGAGCTTCTTGCCCCACCCACTGTCCAGCTACAGGCTATGCCACCTCTTATCTGACTGTTCCCTTGGCAGCGTCTCTTGGCCCGGCCTCCCAAAGTCTTTCCCACATACCATTACATTGGGAATGGATCAGGGTACCACCTGGATGGGAGACCACAAGGAAATACTAAGAGCTAGGAGAAGGTTGTGGCCAACCACTTCCATCTTCTTGCCCCAAACCGACTTGGATGCATTCATATAGTTGCTAGACTTTAGTCCTAAAGATGCCCAGAGATGGATTTTGGATTCCTTAGCTATGGACAGAGTAATATAGATGGTAGATGTCTGCCCCAAGGGGGTTATCATCGGTTTCTGAATAAGCAGGCGAGGCAAAGTGGGAAAAGAAAGAATGTGATATTTCTTGCCTAGGGCTGGGAACAGATTTAGGGTCTGGGCGTAGGCAGAATTCTCGTGCTCTCCTTCTCTCCCCGCCTCGAGAAAGGAACGAGAGGCCCCAGGATGAACTCTGAGCTCTTTCCAAGTATGGCACTGCTGTTTCTCAGGCCCTGGAATTTGTCCCTCATTCCTCAAGGGTTAACTCTGGCTTGCAGGCAGGATCTTCTCAGATTGATTTATTAACAGCCAGAGCCAGCCCACTCCCTCTTAACCCCTAAGTCCACCCTTTCCCTTGGCCTGTGCATCGTGGAACGATGGGCTTGTTTTCACGAGCTCCAGGGGGTGGCACACGCACTGGTCAGCCTGAGAATCAGGGGCCGGGTTCACACAGCCCTTTTGCCTGGCATCAGCTGGAAATAGTTCATTCCGTTTTCTGGTTTTGCATAGCACATGGGAGCCTCAACGTGAGCCAGGTTTAGAGTGCATGCAGAGTGCAGGGGGTTACTACTTGGGAGCGCATGTTGAATGCATGCTGTGGTAGTTGTGAAGGGTGGGTGAGCTTTCCATCTGTCTGTCCCTCCTTTCTTCCTTCCTTGCAACATCACTGCACCCTTGGCAGAAAGACCTCTCATTGCTACCGCTGGATTCTGGCCTCGTCTCACCCCACCTGTTTAGTTGCAGATATTTCTGCCCCAAAGATGTTTACAAACTAGATGATTAAATCATACAGACAGATTATAGTGATTGAGAAACTTAACTCCGTAAAGTTCATTTGTACTGGCTGGAAATGCGGAAAAAAGGAGAAGAAACATTTCAGCAGCTGAATTCCTGCCTTGCAACCAGGTGTGGAAGTTTAGGGGCAAAACG